GTGGTGTCTTATCTAAATGCTTTTAAAATAATGAGTAAATTTCTTGAAAAAAGTACAATAAAATTTTCCAAAACATTTCAGGAATCGTTTAAATACCGTAAGACCCAATTTTTGTATGCATGCGATATGCTGATTACGGCAAGTAATTTGTGACAATTTCTTCCAACTCTGATTACAAAATTCTAAATAAAGTTTATACAAAGTGTCCCAGCGAATTGAAAAAGTTCATTAGTGACTTTTAAATGGTAAAATTGTATAGGACATTGATAGATATAATCTTGTGTATCACCTAAAATTATTTTCATACAGCATGTCCCAAAAATAATTTACGATACAAACTTGTGTTTTTTTAAATGAAACACCGTATTTTTGGATGTAGCCTTTGAAAACAATGTTTCTATGCTAAACTTATTAGTCGATTTAGCTTAGTTTTAGAAATAAGACGTTTTTTGACGAAAACATGCACTTTTTAAAAATTTATTACACAAAAATTAAGACAGCTAGAACAAATTTTTTCTTACTTCTGCAAAGAAGAAAGTAAAGAACTTAAAGGTGTAGCAATTTTTTAGTGTTTTGCATTTGTAATGATTAATAAATTAAGAAGTTTGTTAAAAGTTAAATAACTTTTGGCTACTGAAACAATAGTATTTTTTTTAATGTTTAACGTTAAATATTTTTTTAGTTATTGATTATAAACACCTAAAAGTAAACTATTTTAGAAAGYCAATTTAATAATCTTTTAAATGCAAAAYCAATAAATAAGGTGTTCRATTTAAATTTTTTAAGTTATTHAACTTTTAACAAACGCCTTCATTTTTTTATTTTTGCAAATGTAACACAGTAAAAAAATGTTACAACCCTTCTCTGCGGTAGCAAAAAAATATTTCTAAATGTCTTAGTTTTTGTGTAATAAATTTTTAAAAAGAGCATGTTTTCGTCAAAAAAAACATCTTATTTTTAAAACTAAGCAAAATCAATCAATAAAAAATTAGCTTAAAAACACTGTCATAAAAATCTACATCCAAAAACACTAAGAAACATAAGGTGTTTTATTTAAAAAAAACACATGTTTGTATTGTAACTTATTTTTGAGCTGTATGGTTAAAAATAATTTTAGGAGTTTAACTAGATTAGTATCTATCAATGTCGTATACATTTTTTTTTAATTTTACCATTTAAAGGTCACTAATGTCGTTTTTCAACTCGCTGGGACACCCTGTATAGTGTTTTTTAATTACATAAAAGTCAAAAGCTAAACTAAAAGCCCTAATTTCCCATAATTACCACTTTTTGTTCTTTCTGCAATTTACAAAATACCAAATGAGTAAAAATTACAGTAATTAAAAGCTTCTTTCGGTATTGTTTTAATCTATGAGGATTATTACGTGTCTAACAGTAAATTTTTCTGCCTACAGCAACGCCTCTAATAGTGTTCTCACGAATGGCACGACTTTGTTAAATGTCATGATTGTGCGCTAATTACGATACTCTAGTATCCTGCTTGCAAACCCACCTTTAATTGTCCTCGAATTTTTCACAGATCTTATAAATCGATAAAAACATCAATCAGTTTCAGCTTGACAACCCACAAATATTAGCACAAATAAAGGCGCCTTTCTCATATCCTTGACCAACCATCCCGGACTAATTTATTGAGACAGGTCAAGGATTTGGAATATTTTGAAAGGACTTGAATTTGTCCTTAAAAATTGCCCACTGTTTCGCTCGGTTTGTGTCAAATAACGGAAAAATTCGGTGAGACATTGCTTGAAAAACTCGAGGAAAAGGTCACCGACTAGGAATCTATTCAAACCGAGATAAAAACCGACTTTAACACCTCTCGCAATTAGTCTAACAAGTTCGTTTGCTCCTATGCAACGACTTCGTTATTACCTAATAAGTAAGTACCCCAAGTCAGCAAAGCATGAAAAGTTGCTCTAGATAATAAAACGTTAAAATATGGCAAGACAGCCATACTTGGTCGCTTGCTGGGAACTTCCACATGACTGTAAATTGCTTGAACAAATTTGGTTAGAATTTGCAAATTTTTAACGGACGATGGAATTAGCAAGTTGGCAGTCGAGAGTAAAATTTTGCAATTTACTTAACACATTTACATAAATGTATTAAACTCGTCTAGTTGCACAATTGGACAGGCTATAACAAACACCGAAAAGGTTGCAGCAAATATTTAAACAAACATATGCACAACTAAATGCGCAAAATTGTTGCAACATTGAACCCCTTTCAGAATTACACAACTTTGGAGAGCATTACTTGACATTAAAATACCCACTTGTTTTTCCATTTCTAAATTCTAGATAAATTAAAACTTAGTCTTAAAGGCATAAGACATTTCAGTTCTCATAAAAACAAATCTTAATTTGAAAATTTTCCCTACAATCAATCAAACCGAGATTAAAACAGGGAGAAAAATAATATGCACCTGTATGTTGACAGCTTTTCTGTACATTTTAATCCACTTTCTGTTATTTTTGTTATTTATTTCATGGATTTCTTCTCCATACAGGGTGAATAAAAAGTATGGAACCAAACAAAAATTTTTGAAAAAATTAATTAGTAAATGAAAAAGTACTATAAAAATGTGACGTTTTATCATAAATATTTTTTTCGAAATTATCTTCAGTTTTTGAGTTCTACAATTTTTTTATTTTTTTTTTAAATAGCAACCCATTATAACACTATTTTTTCCACAACGGCTATGATTTAGGAATTACAACTGTCTATTTTTGTTAGAATTTGTTTTTATTTAAGTTGCAATTTTGACAAAATAAAATGGCATAGCTCAAACAAAAAACAAAATTTCATTCTTAAAACTTCACAAGTTTTATAGCATTTTAATTATTACTTTCTGAAGTCGAATAACTAAAAAAAACGCTTGATTCCATACTTTTTATTCACCCTCTATATTCAGTATGCAGATTAAAATATGATTGAAAAAGTACTATAAAAATGTAAGGTTTTATGAAAAATATTTTTTTCGAAATCATCTTCAGTTTTTGAGTTCTACAATTTTTTTTATTTTTTTGAAATAGCAACCCATTGTAACACTACTTTTTTACAACGGCTATGATTTAAGAATTACAACTGTCTATTTTTGTTAGAATTTGTTTTTATTTAAGTTGCAATTTTGACAAAATAAAATGGCATAACTCAAACAAAAAACAAAATTTCATTCTTAAAACTTCACAAGTTTTATAGCATTTTAATTATTACTTTCTGAAGTCGAATAATTAAAAAAAACGCTTGATTCCATACTTTTTACAGAGTTTTAATCAAATTCTGCAATCTTCAAATTTAAATAAGACACTATATTTTTTTATTCTTCGACACTGTCAAAATTTACTGTTTTTCTCCTGTGTAAGGAAGTTTTGACAGCTGTTTGGCATTTCTCAGATTATTTTTAACAGATTTAAAGCAATTTTAAGCCTTGTTGAGTCTAATTCGAAGAAAAAATTGTTATATTCAACTTCTCTTCATGTAAATCGGTTTAAAAATCCACTCATGAAATAAAGCGTCCGATTTACACTCAAACTTGTCGAATAAATTACTAATTTTATCGTATTCTGCAATTAATTCTTCTTCTTGTAGATGTAATTTTATATTTTTAAACTTTAAACAGTTTTCCAAATGCTTATCTATTTTTTCAGAGATGTATTTTTACAATTAATAAATTTTGTAAAGAACGATAACCGTATAATGTTACAGGTTTTCATAATTTTTAATTTCCAAATTCACATTATATCTCGAATTTGAACTAAAATCCGAAAGATAAATATAAAACAAATTATTATAATAAAAAGACAATTGTCATTTCCCAACTTGTATTGTCATATTACATATCAACTGATAAAAAAGTGACCACTTCTCAACCTCAACCTGATATTTCATATCAATTGTTAAATGAAGTTAAAATGTTATTCTTTCCAACTTTTGATTATTACTTTATGACTGTTAACTAATAAATTCAAAATTCTGAAAACTTGGCTTTTTTTAAATGACCCAAATCGACAATTTGCTGCAAGAAATAAAGCAAGATTATGTAAGAAATACCGTTTAAAATAAACCCACCACCCAAATTGGCTTTAAAGGCAAACCCGAGTAAAACACGGCGAGAACGAGTTGCAAACTCCATGTTTAGATTGTGCCTTGACATTTAACGACCATTAAAGAACTTTAGAAATGAACATAGAATCGTGTTGGTACTATGACTTTATAGGAATGTAAGTTATAAAAGCACAAAATAAAATTATAAGATGAAACTGTTTAAATTATGTACTACTCATATACAAAAGAGATGCGATGCATGCAAATGATTAAAAAAGAAGTACAAGTAAATTGTGGATAATTAGTCCTCCGAGTAATTTTGCTAACGAAGGGAATTTCAGGAAAAATATTACTGAGAATAATTATGAAGCATATTTGATAAACAACTTTCAATTAAAATTGTACCGACTCCTTTTGTTGAAATTTAAGATGATTCACTTCTTGCACCCACTTAAAAAACTAGTAACTCTTAAAAAATTTGCATCAATGTCATCAACTTTTAAATTTCATGAAACCATTTATTTGGGTTTAAGACAAAAATAAAATACTCGTTTGATTTATTGCAACACACTGAACAATTTTACATCTTTTAGAAAAAAAATACTTTTATTCAATCTATGTTAAAATTGAATTTTATCTACTTTTTTCTTCATGTTAAAATGAAATTTTATTGTCTAGATGATAAAAAAATACATCCATTGCGGTTGTTAGTTGCTAACGATCTTTGACATTAGATTTCATTGTTGAATTTTACTTTGACATTTATAAATATCGACCGAATTGACTACAAAATTAGTGAGGATTGAAATAAAATTGAAAATAAAATTTTATATTGTACACGACGATAAAATTCAATTTTATCGTCTTGTATAATAAATAACTATTGTCTCCATCATAAGCGCCACTTGGTGTCACAAATAATAATGACTTACCTTTTGTGAATGAAAGTGTGTCTCAAAATGTGGTATCCAAAAGCACTGGTCAGTTACATGTCACAAAAGTCACAAACACGCACACGAAAACCAAATTTAGTCAATAAACAATAAGCACACTATGAACACGATAGTACGGTTTGTGAGAGAATGAAGAAAGAAGAAAGCGCTGGCCGCGAGTTGGCGATCACGTGACCAAGAGTTCTTGCAGGAGGGAGCACGTCCACCGGACATCCTCTCAACATCCTACGGAATTGTAATATTTACGCACACTTCGAGGTGAGGAGGCAAAGCGTGCTATTCCAATACGTTTATTTAGGATTAGCAGGAAGATTTTTCGTGAAGATTTTCAGAATTTCCTGCAAAAAGTAACCGAGAACACCAATAGTAACCACAACGTCCATAATCGAGTGTTTTTTTGCTAGTAATTTGGTTTGTTTTGGACATGACCTAATAGTTTTCAAAGAAAAAGTAGATAATAACGAAATGAAGCGACTTTGCAAATTAACTAGGATACAGTCAAGAAGACTTTGAACTTCATATTTAAATTCATATTTAAATAATTACATGTTTATTTGTGGCATGCTATCAGAAGCTTAATATAATAATAAAAAAACTGTATAAAATAGAAAAAAAACACGATGCAAGTAAAACTTTATTTACTTTATTTTATTTTTTTATTATTTTTTTTTATTTTATTTTGTTTTTATTTTGTTTTTATTTTATTTTATTTTATTTTATTTTTTACTGCGTTTTTGGATAAATTTAGTTATTTTAAGGGAGTTTTAATCAGCTTTCTCTATACTTAAATTTAACCATTTTTGAAATATTTGGAGTTTTTCAAAAATTTTTGGATCTGCACCTTCCACTTTAAAAATCTGTAATTCTGCTATTTTTTAAAATTCTGAATTTGTTTTTTTGGAGTTTGAAAGAGAAAACTTGGATCTTTCTTCTGGTGTTTTCAAATTAAAAAAAATTTTTTAAGGTTACTTTTGTAATAATTTAAATACCCACAACTCAATTTTTCCAAATAAAATACCCAAATTTTTTTTTTA